ACGGTATGGGACCACCTCTTCCTATCCATCTACCCGGAAATCTTTCATTTAGCCAATTTCTCACATTAACGCCCATAATGGGCTGGCGCTCCGTCGTGCTGAAAGTGCAGCTAATGTCGAATATTTAATGGGAGATTATCCAGAATGGGTTCAAGGTGGGTTTGTAAAAAATTCAGATACTCAATTGCATTTAACCGAGCAGGAATTTCAATCGGCCCAATTAATCTGTCATTGATTATTGCCGCCCAAACATTAATAGAAAATCTATCTTGAAAAAATCGACGTCGCCCCACCCGAGGATTTTCTTGTGAATAAAAATGGTGATTGTGAATATTAAAAACACCATCTCTATTAAATGTAGCCTCGTCGCTCCACATAATAAAAAGAAGTAGTTCCTGATGGTTTCTTATCCATTCACTAAACTCCATTCGTGGTAAAAAGTCGTGGGGTCTTAAGGCTTGAACACATTCTTAACATTCTTCCAACCTAAATGAACATATTTTTTAAAATACACGTAAACTAAAGTAATAATTTAAAAATGCCTTTAATCTAAAACTTGTTTGTGTTATTTTTAACCGACTTCAAAAAAGGAGGTTCTCAATTCGTCGCGATATTTTTTTTTATGTATGTTCAGCGATAATTCCTTTTAACTCGGTGTCCGATTTTAATGATTTTTTTTTTTATAGAAAGGGGGTACTACAGGAGTGGTCCCATATAAATTTGGTCAAAATCTAATAATTGGGTCCATGAGAAAATCCTCAAACTCTTCATTTTTTATGTATGTTTAGCGATAATGCTTTACCACCTTGTCCGATTTATATGATTATTTTTTTGTTAGTAAGGGGATACCTCAGGGGAAGTCCCATATAAATTTGGTTAAGATGTGGTGATGGCATCTGCACGTTTTTGAAGTCGGTTTGTTTGAATTTTTAATTTCTAATACTTGTACTTGTAAATTTGAGCAATAAAAACTAAGAATCACAAAATAGTATAAAGAAAAAGGGAAGTAATTATTACTTACTATTGCTCGTGGTATTTCTGAAAGGGTGGAAACAGTTCGAATACTCCTTCTTGGGTCCTCTTCAAATAAATTAAGAGCGTGTTTCCAAATTGTTGTTCCCATGTGGTCTCCCTTGTCCACGATCACGTTGAAATGAACCATGGTCAACCAAATTTCTATGTGTATTAATAAATAGACGGTAGTCAGGAATTCTTCGGCTAGGAAACCGTCTACGGTATGCTCGTACCGCTGCTCTTGCCCTTCCATTACACAAACCATATACAAAATGAATATCTGCCAATTCTCTATTTGAAAATCTCTCCATTTATTAGAAGTATTTTTCTTTCACGCAAAAAAGTACAAATAATTACACAATTGACAGCCAATTTTTGTTTATCACAACGTTCAAAAAATTGAAAAGCAGCTATTGGATTCCAGGCCTACTAATTTTTGTTTGCACTTTCGAATAAGATAATATGAACTTATCATAAAATTTTTCAAATGCTTTTCTCTTGAAAATGGTGCGTCCTAGCGAGATGCATCAAGAGTAGCTTTATTGTAAAGAAAACATTGGGTTTCCAAATTTTTTAGTCAAAAATTTTAAAAACTGACAACAAAAAAACTTAGGGCAATTTTACCTTAAGCCTCCCCCTAATTTACCCATCTATGAAGATGATCAAAAACTAAGATTTAGTCCATTACATAAAGCGTAAAAAGGTAAGCATTTTTACCAAATTTCATTTAGTTATCTTTAAGCGTTTAGAAAATATTTATAAAAATGTGTCATCAGGACTTCACTTTTAACACCCTGTATCTCGAAAAAGAAACGTTTTCGGACCTTTGTTTATATAAACTTTTACCAGGCCCATGACACTCCCTCGGCGGGAAAAAGACGCGCAGCTTTTACTGCGCTGACGTTTTCGGGATATAACCTATCACTTGTCATAAATCCGGTTAAAAACCTCAGATAAATAAATAAATAAATTTATCTGAGTTAAAAACTCGCTACCATGCGCAGGCAACCCATATTTCGTACACAAATATAAACTTTTGTTTACATTTTATCGAAGTAGTTTTTGTAATACATTCACAGCTTAAAAACGGAAAATTTGTTATTTTGATAGTGGATTTAGATCAAAAATACCCCAAATACACTTCAGTGTGTGTTTTATCCTTATTATTGCTCGTTTTATTTGAGGACATTGGAATAAATAGAGTACTAAAAGTAATCAAGCTAAAAAGGTGTGTTATAAAAAGAAAATACATTGCCTTCGACTGATTTATGTTTAATATGTTTTCGTGAAGTATTTCCAACATGCTAGTTACTTGAATGGTTGTAAATTGTACGTGTATAAGTGATAAAAACATCTAGTGCTTTGTGCTTCCTTTTTTGCTGTTGGTGTCCCAGCCCAGCATTTCTAGCCAGCAGTAGTAGCAAAAACATTAACATTGTCTACATTCAACCAATTTACATGTACATGATTTATCAGCTAAAAGCAGAATACAATATTTCTCTGCAAAATGTAAACAACACTACAAGGAAAATTGCTCATGTATAAATTCAACAACTAAATCAAAATATATTATTTTTAAAGGACTTATATCAACTATTATGTTAATTATAAATATTATAAGTATTTGTAACAAAATAATAGTTGTGTATTAATAAACCTGTTGCTACTCCAGAAAATATATTATTTATTGATTATCAGGTATCAAAAATATGTGTACCTATAGAAATTTGTTGAAATGTTCTATTGCTCTTAATCTTTTTAATGGGTTCTTATTATAGTTGTAAATAAAAATCAACACTTTTTATCCGTCTATTTAACACTTACAAATGTGTGCATATTTTAAGTTGTAAGGATCCATCGCCTCTTAATGTTTTACATTAGAAATAAGACCTGTGATGTCACATTAAATCGTTAATATGAGGTAAAAAATTTGGGAGTTGTCTTTCAGTCTAATTTGAAGTTCAATAACCATTTTTTTACACATAACTAAAAAAGCAATAAAAGCATTAGGTTTTTAAATCAGAAATACAAAAAAATTTAGGATTACCACCAAAATCAGATTATATAATGCCTTAGTAAGACTCCATCTTGAGTATGTTTCACAAATATGGATACCCTTGGAAGCCACACAAATTGATCATATTGAAAAAGTACAAAAAATATTTTTACGATACCTTTATGTCATAAAAAATACTTGTACACCCTTATACCTAAGATCTCGTATAAAACTATGCTCAATAGTTTTAAGATTAAATCTCTTTTACAAAGAAGAAAGCAACAGGCTGTGATATATTTTGTACTCTATTTTAAGTACAAAGATTGTGAATTGATTGACTATATAAATGTTAATGCGGCAAAGATTAATCTAAGAATCCCAAGTAACAATAAATTATTTGATTTAGATCCAAGTAGTATATCTCTTTTTAACAAGATGATGGCTGTTACCAATGAGTTTCTTAGCGAGATCCAAATAGATATCTTTAATGTTAGCCTAAGAAAGTTGAGGACTGTACTAAATTAAGTTTACTAGATATAAAGGTTTGTTTTGTTTTTGGTCTTAAATTTCTTGTTACTTAACTCTACATGTAACTACTATTAATTTTTTTATAGTATCCAATACATAAATTATACCTTATGGCTGCTTTCAAACAATTCTGTGTGTAGTCACTTAGTTTAAAGTCAATTTTAAATTAGTGGTTTTACAAGAATGTCAAATAGTAATATGTATTGTGTCTATGAATTTGCTGTGTGTAGTAAATGGCCAATATACATAACTTTGATATTTTTATCACAAGTGTAAAAACTACGAAAACCACATACATATAGTTCCCATTTTAAAATAAATTCAAATTAATTCATAATAAAAAATAACGATTTTAGTCTGCCATACTTGAACTCATTCACAAAAACAAGTCACTGATTATATATTTGTAAAAAAACTACACTAAATATGTCTCCGTTACAAATTTTTAAATTTAAAACTACATACTTTCCTATAGATTTTGCAGTACCTAAATAACGTATAGAATAAATTTTTACAATATACTAGAAAAGTTTTAGATTAGAGTAATTCTTAAGAAATAAAGCAATACCTCTATTTTGTTACTCTAACCTTGTGTGTTATATATTTCCCTTGACAAACTAACGTTATATTTTGAACTAAAAGTAATTAAACTTTTCACCAAAATGTAATATTTCACATACATAAAAAAATTTAAAACGGTTCTGTCCTTCTTACATTTGCGAAGACTGCCCTGATATCTAATCTATTTTCTTCTTCAAAGTAATTAAGTTGTTCAACCGTTGTCTATTAAGGTATCTCACATCTCCCTCATACACACGAATTTGAAAAGCAGCAGAACAAAAATTCAACTAACCATGTATACCAAGTCAGTGTAAAGAAAACTTTTCATATCCCGAAAACGTCAAGTGTCAACTAAAATTTCTACTTTTAAAGATCAAACGTGCCGCCTCAGAGTGCCAATACTGATTGGTATATATACTGGGCTTTTACTCCTATTTTAGGATGTAGATTACGCTGTTAAAATATGACCGTCAATATTTTCAGAAAAAAATTAACGGCGGGTTGTACAATACGCGGTTAGTCGTCCCAAAAATTATTTTTTAAATGAATAAAATTAACAATTATTTTCAAATCACTTTCACGAATGACAATTGACATGTATGACAGATACTCACTGCGCAAACTCAAACCTCAATTTTGAATCTCCTTAACGGAACGTAAATTTTGAGAAAGGATCGACATCAAATTTCAGTTCTGTGGGTAATCGTAACAGTTGTAAGGTGAGGATAAGAGAGAGATAGAAAATAAGTGTAGTTATCATACGAATAAAATTTTTTATTGCATAATTGTAAGTTTGCTTATGTTTAATTTAAAAGTAGCTATTTTAAAAATTTACTGAAAAAAAGTCATCAATTATTTAATAGGAAAGGAGGCGCTGTAAAGGGTAAAAAAAAAACGAAAAATAAACTTAAAGACAGCCAGAAAACTGTCACTTTATTTACACAAATAATCTTGTTTTACAAAACTTTACACATGCAATCAAGACCAGCTCAACCCGTGTGAAGGTAGCCCCATGGAAAACGAGTCTCGCCCCGACCACGGCACATTTGATACAAGGCTTGCGTCTTGTCAAAAACGTCATTCACAAAAGGCAAGACTCGCTTGCCCGAAGGCATCCCAATTATTTATATCAAAATAGTAAAAATTAATAATTAAAGTGAGATTAAACAAATGAGAACCACTTAGCAACACCCGTGGCTAAAGAATGAACTAATCTAAACGAAAAATAACGTGGCGCAAACAATCAGACAAGTGGTTTGAGGTGGCTAATTCCTCCTCTCGGTTTTCTTTTTTCCTCGCGGTAAGTGAACTGGTCTCGAAAGGTTCTATTATTTCAACGTTTTACCACTTCGGGAAAAACAATAACAATTTTTTTTTAATTTAATCTTAGTTATATGTACATTTCATTTTATAACACGCCCTCATTTGAACTATAATTCTCATTTTACAATTAAAGCGACTCACAATAATTGTCACTTTAACTGTCAAATAAATCAAAAAGAGAACGGTTTAAGTCTATGTATGACAGACAGGTGCTAGTCGGGCCGATTTTGACATCTCCGAAACTACCGTCAGACGGCGCTTGCGGCGTTACTCGAAGGTTTACTATTTTTAAACCATTATTTCAACATTTCTATCACAGTGATGCTCTTATCAATCACAGATTTCTACTTTTGAGCCAATTTTGTTTTTTGAACGGACTGAGCACCTGTGCTTCATACATTGACCTCTTTATATTTAAAAAATCGCGCCTTCAAAACCAAATCACAGGTCTCCGGATGGATGAACAAACTAAAAACCAGATTATTGTAAAGCCTTTTGGATAGAAGTCTTAAAAAAATAAAATCTGCGACTCTAGTAGCTAAAAATTAGGGACAGGCAGCCGGAAAAAAAGCTGTCCGGTAGAATAACAGTATAAATAATAAGCTATCGGAGTCTTAAAAATTATTCTAAAAGGTAATTTAATAATGTTTAGAAAGCATGATGCTATTTTTCTGAAGTTACCATCTGTCAATAACGACATCACCAACTGAAAAAAGAAATAATGTCAAGCGTTAAAAAGTGTTTTCAAAGAAGTGTAGTCTCTCACATGCTGGTTAAAAGAAAAACAAAAGAGCTGTTAGGAAGTAGAAATGTAAGTTTATTTTTTTGCTATTGGACGTCTCTTATGTTTGGAAATAATGCCACATCTGTTAAACCAATTTTGAAACTAATTTCAAATCAATTTCTAAAGTGTAATTCGTTTGAAAGTTTTGACACATGTCAAATGTCAATAAATAAATTTCTTAAAACAATTTCAACATAAAAAAGTTAATTAAAAAAATGAAAGGTTCCACAAATAATTTATATCTTTTAAAAACTATAAATCAATGACTTTTTAATAATGTTTCATTAAATGTTTTTCCGTCGCGATTAAACATTTTTTTGTAAAGTTTTGAAAATGTTTTGCGTATTTCTATCTTTTGATAACATATTTTTTAATTAATATGTCTCGCAAACCACTAACAAACTTGCTCAGAATAGACATTATTCAAACGAGACGGAGGTGATGTTAGTAAAAAAGATAAAAAAGGAAATGTAACTATTATTTTTGTTTCAAAAATCCACATTCTTGATGATAGGAGGGGAAGGCACTTTCAAAATCACTCCAAACTCGCAGCTCGAATGTCTTCAGTACGAGCTTTTTACATTCTGCATATTGATTGTGGTACTGTGGAAAATTAAAAAAATCATGAGTATCTACATAAAAAATGATAACATGGTGTAAAGACATCAACTCAAATAATGTATTGTCAACGCCGGGCACTCTAGTTGTATAAGTTGCTTCATAATGGCCTTCTAACAGTAAGTTTGGTTAAGGCAATTGACAATTAATTTAGTTCTGTTAGAGCCACTTTACAGTTCGAAATATTGCTTTGCTGTAAGTAAAATTGCGACAATCAATCCTAATGAGCTCGAGATAAATTGCTATCCGTATTTCACTTCAAAAAGTTCGGCAACAGGTAAGTACACCAACTTAAATATATCAGTTCTACCAAATAGGGCAGTGACATTGTTTTAGGGTTACTACTGAAGATATTAATGTTACTTTTTGTCAGCTGATACATCAATTTTGTCACATCATGGGAGTATTGCTGAAGATTCTAATTAAATAAAACATATATAATTAGTAATTCTTACATTATTTTATATTTTAGTTAGATTACGTAACGTAACACAAAAAAAAGTCAAATTCCATGATAAATGTATAATCTTGGAACTTGGAATTAGTGATGCGTCGCTCAGAAATGTTCAGACATTTACGACCGTAATGTCAGAAAAGTGGACATCCAAATACACTTGTACGCATGCGTGAAATGCAAAATATTAATTGCCGGCACTTTCGTTCGGCAATCCGCGACAATTGTCTTGGACCGTTTTAACGATTTACTCGGTAACAACATCTGCCGGGCGACCTGGTCGCTCTTCATTAAAAACAGATGTACGACCACGTTTAAATTCGTTGAACCAATATCTTACGGTTGTCATAGATGGTGAAGGGTCCCCATAGACAGCATCCAACTTTGTTATTATTTCATCGCATGTTTTTCCATCAAAAAATAAGAAGCGAATTACGGATCGATATTGTTCTTTCTCCATTTTATCGATTAATGCGAAACACGTATGGTACAAGTGGCTGCCAAATAAAAACCAACCAACGAATCAGTTTGAAATTTAGTATGGTGTCGTGTGACAGATGACAGTACACGACAGTAATGTCAACTTCCCTCAGCAACGCCACCTGTCTTCAAACACGGGTACTTATTGATCCACCCTCGTTCATAAGGGATGTGGTAATTACAACACCACTACACCCAAATCAACATGCATACATCGCAGGCAGATCTACTGATGCAGCTCTTTACTTAGTTGCTGGCCGGATACAGAGATCCCTGATCAATACAAAGTCCGCCTTGGGTGTTTTTATAAAGTGCTTTTGATAAGACGACTTTTCCAAAGATAATAAACTCATTAAACAACAGAAATGTTTCACAGGTGGTTAGTGGATGGATACATAACATGCTTTCAAAGCAAGCAGTAAACATAGGAGTAGAAGATGTGAATATAAGAGGCTTGGTTGCGAGAGATGACCTGGTAATTCTGCAAACAGGGACTTTTGAGAACATACTCTGCAAAAGAATGCAAGTAGCTAACATACGGTGCAGTTGTCTTGGTACCAAATATCCAAAAATTGACAGTTATCGGCAAACTAGAACAAATTCAAAAAACAGCATGTCTCAACATAACAGGAGCCATCAAAACCATACCGACTAGAGCCATGAAAGTCAAGGAGATTGCTCTGATGACAATGACACGCCTCTGCATGGTTGGAATAGAATCTGAACTAGGATCTGGTGAGGCGAGACGTCGCTTTTGGCAGGAGGCGCTTCAAGGACTCCATCTCACCAAGATATATCTTCCATAAGCTATATAAAGTTACAACAAAATAAATAGAAAAGTCGAAAGCGGCAGGTACGATTCATATCTACACCGACGGTTTTATAATAAAACACGACGTAGGATGTGGAATAATATACTCCAGATCCTTAAACCTAAATATAAAATGGGCTATGAGCAGTAGTACCACTGTAGTTCAAACCGAGCTCACAGAGATTATCTTAGCAGCAAAAGAAATCACTAAAAATAATATCACTGGAAGGAACATTCTCATCTACACAGATAGCAGACAAGCTCTGTTCGCCCTGGACAGACCACGAATTTACTCAGGGTTAATACTAGAATTTCAGGAGGCTTTGGCCGAAGTATCCATCAACAATGTGGTCAACCTAAATGGATCAAATATCACGCTACATCTGAAAGGTAACCGTCTTTCTGATTCTCTGGCCAAGAAGGCAGCAGAATTTTTTTTAACATTATCATTGGAAAAAACGTCGTAGGACATTCAACTCTGATTTTTTAAAAGCTTAAAATAGCCCATATTAATGTTAACTTTAAAAAACTAAATCTTTTACTAGCAACATAAGGAAGTTCCATAAGACCTCGCCGGGGATCATTTACTGTATACAATGATCTTTTGCAGTGTAAACCTTTCTCTTTGCGTTATAGCTTCATGTTATTTCGTAAGAATTACTTATTTCTTATGCATATCGTAAATGACATTACGAATTCATAATTTCTGTTACAGGTTTGGGATGTGGTCGCCTTTTTGGAGGATTTAAAATATGGTTATTCTTTAATGCAAGGGAAATTGAGCTTACCGTCGAAATATTCAAATTCAACGATGCTGCTACACGCTCTCCGATTGCATTTATTAGTAATAAAGAGCCACCATTATCTCGCTCTTCTTCAAAATATCTTATTAGAGACCCCACTAATTCTTTCGTACGGCTATTTAAATGCTTAGACATTTTAAAAATCTCAAAATAAATTTGTTTATTAAACACAGAAATAATACTGTTGTCAGTTCAATCATACATGTCACAAAAAGAATTATTGATTTGGCAACTGTCCGTTACGTATACATACTTTGATTTTCTTTTACTATACGGAGAATGGTCGCACTGCGCAGCTTTCTGAGTGCCTTTTAAAAGGAGATAGAAAAATCCGCCATTTTGATCCCTTATTACGTGTTGCCTACATCTTGGCGCAATATTTTTAATAGGTGCGTTTCAAACATCCGCTTCTGCTTCGGAATTGTCGGTTTTCTTGTTTTAATCTGACAGGTTAAAACGACTAAACCGACAATTCCGGAAGCAGAAGCGGATGATTAAAACGCACCGGATATTTTGCTTGCTGCTGTCAGTGAATATTATTTTTGGAGTCACAGTTTATTGCTAAAGAATCGGTTAGCTCACTCGGACCAGTTGAAAGTTCCAAAATAACATCCACTCCAGGGATACAAATTCAGGATATGCAGAAGACTGCTGTTTTATTGTAGGCGGTTGTCATATATTGTATTATCCGAGTTGCGCAGTGTATAAACTGGAATATTGAGATCAAAAGTGCCGACGCAGAGTGAGCGATCTGATTCTTTAGCTATAAACTGTGGCATAGAAATCAAAATGGCCGCACCCTATGTTGGGCGTGTTGGACCTCTCTCTTGCACCGTATAGTAATCAAAGTATGTGGTTACGTATACCAATTGCCCACTTCAATATTGAAAAGCAACAAATTTAACCAACATCAAGGATTTATCTGTTCAATTTGTTAAACAATTTTTATCATTGATGACGTGCAACGGAAATTTTATTGCAATGGGTGTATTAGGAATTTTAAAACTGATTTACAGCGCTCATTTAAACCATTTTCTACTCGGAATTGTAGTTACAATACAACTTTCGGATAAATATTTTTAGTACGTCGCCATTACCTGCAATTGCAAGAACTTCAACAGCTGAATAAAGCAAGTTTATGTACCGAGGTGCAATAAGAATATCTGTATCAATTTTACTTACACGCATGCAACATTTCTAACTGTAAAGTGGTTCTTAATATTAATATTTTATGTTTATATTAAATTAGTCAATATAATTTATTCTGATTAAAGTTACATTTGAGTTGAAGTCTAGAAAAAATTGGAAAAAAATACTTACATATAACAAACGACATCACAGGTAAAAGAGTTTTTATTATTAGAACACACACGGGTTAGTTCAAATCAATGCAATCTGCTACATTATAATGAAATTTAAAAGATCACTTGATAATTTACTCTCAGAAAAAGTTAGATTTGTTAATAAGTTAATGATGATCGTTTAAATTTCTCTATTTTAAATAGAACATTTTGATTTAGTTTTTTTTATGATAAAAAAATACTGAAAAAAGGAATGTACGCATTCAACATCACATAATTTAGTTTTGTGCAATACTAGGAATACTGGTGCAAATATTATAAGTAGGAATGTTTTTAATCTAAAACAACGAAATTTAGAGTGGACGATACAATTTTAAAAACTAGAAATATTTACATACCATCGAATAGTACCTGTAATAATCTTTATTTATTTTTATATCACTTGAAAAATATTT